TGATTTTCTTACTTTTGGCCTGGAGATGAAGGAAGGTGATCAATGCTTAAGTCACCTGAAATTTCTGGTCTGTTGTGACATTCCAGTCCAACTACTGCTCTTCAGGCCATGGGAGTACCCACGCCTTGCAACTCAGTATCATGTCTCTGTTTAAATAGCCCATGCTACGCTAAGGATTTCATTCTGCCACATTGATAAGAGATACAGATATATAGCTTTTGGGGTAGAAACTTTGCCTAATTACTGTTATATCCCCATTTCCTTTCTGTAAATGCTCAACATGTGTGATTGAATTTGTTACTTAAAGTGGTAACTTTAGCACTTCCTCATTAATACAAACTGCAAGATAATTATATTATTTTAGATAAAACTTACAGCTCAAGTGAGTACGTCACTGGCCTGGTATTGAAGACATGCTAAAAAAAAATTCTATATTTTTCAAGTGTTATTTTGAGACTCTAACATTCTCAACACAGAGTAAATAAGACTGTCATAGGATCTCTCACAAAATCTCATGCCACTGAATGACGTGCTTAAAGGCGCAGAGAAAGCCCCTAGTGAGCACCAAGACCTCAGTAGTTGATGGTGTAGGCAGATCAGAGTGGACTGGTAGGCAGATGCCTTTTCCTGTGATAACTACATTGTCCTTTCCACAATTTGAAGCAACTAAGGATATAAGAAGCACACTTGATTCTTAAGGGATGTCTTATGGGAGCACAGCTGTTTAATAATCTGCATCAAACCAGATCTCACTCTTTCTGTTGTTTCTTCCAACTTTTTCTTTTATAATAGTTAAGGATGTGACAAAAGTCAGTGCAGATTTATATATGATGTTTACAAACAAAAACTCGTATAGCAGAGTCCATGTGGTTAACAATGATCAGAACAACTCCTGTGACTCCGGACAGGCGCACACCCTTCCCTCACTCTGCTGAGGAATCACTCTCCACTTGAACTACTCCTCTGTTTGTCAAACTTATTAATTGCATCTGATACTTGGTCTGCGTCAGTGGTCATTACTCATTGACTTCTCTGCCCAAACCAGTGTGTCAGCTTAAAGGTTTACTATGACAGTGAAGGACTCCACTGAATTTATGCCAGAGATCACGAGGATAGACTGTGGTTGGGTTTAATATTACCCACAGCTATTCCTTTAATAGAGTGAGCAGTGGGACGAAAAACAGGAAAAATCTATGAGGAAGAAAAGTTTGGAAAACACAAAGAAGCAAACATTAGAAATACTTTTCCTACAATTTTGTCAATTATACCTCAATAAATCCGGGGAAAATAAAGAAATACTTTGACTCTGGTAACTCCTGAAAGACTTTTTTGGTCATCTGACCTCCACCAACATGCTATGACCTGAAGTGTATAAAATTATTTGTAACATTTCTAAGGAAAGTGTGAAGACTGAGAGATCCACATTTATCTTCTTTTGCTATTAAAAAATCCTGAATTTCTATCAAACTAATCTCATTACGGGAAGAATAGAAGCTCTTAGTGAGTGGATAAAGTACAAGACAATACATTTTAATACTCTTTCTGAGATGAGGGCACCTTGGACAAAGCTCTGGGAGGGAGGAGAGATAGCAGGGCTGTCCAGATGGGCCAGTGGTAACTAGGAAACAGTGTAAATGCACCAGGTGTGGGATCAGTGCCCTCCCTTCATAAGAAGGAAGGTACCAAATCAAGCAGAATGGACAAAGATAAACTATTTAACCATTATAAATAGAGTTACCCTGCAAGTTGGGAGGAATATCAGAGAGACAAGCAGTCTGGCACGCTATGATATGCATTAAATGTTGAGTGCCAGAAACGTAATTTAAAACCAAACTGATCTTATCATTGAATTTAAATCCATTCACTGTTTTACCTGCATGATTAGAGAAAGATCCACACATGGCTCCAAATATTGGCTCTGAGATAGGTAGGAAGAGAATTAACACCCAGGGGTGGGTAATGTGATAAAGCAAGCTCTCAGCCAAGAAAGCAAAGTGGATGTCTAATTGTAATCCTTAAATCGCTCTTCTCAATGGCGTGTTTTGACTTGTGACTTTGCTAAGCTCCCCAAATGTTCTCAGGGCTTTACTACGGATGTCAAATGGGGCAAAAACTTAAAAGATTAGTTTAGTACTGTAGTCTTGAGATTAAAGCTGTGCCCAGGAGGCTGAAGATACTAGCCAATTACACTGCTTTAACCACGTTATAGGAATTGAGTTTCTTTTACTTCACAGTTAGGCTAAGACAGACACAGACAGAGAGATAGATTAACAGACAAACTCATAGATAGATGAGAGAGAGAATCTAATGGTTAAGACATAAGGGGCCTTGTATCAGGCTGCTTGCCTGTGAATTCCAGCTCTACTGCTTCCTTACTGTGTAAGCTTATGCAAAACACTTTCCTGTCTTGGTTTCCTCATCTGCAAAATAGCTACTATAGAATCTGCTTCACAGGGATGTTATAAGTATTAAATGAGATAATGCACACACACAGTGTTTAAAATAGTATCATGCAAAGAGTGAGTGCTCAATGAATGTTGTTACTATATATTTAAATATTTTTATTGGATAAAAGGCAGTACTACATTGCATTTCCCTATTTACGCTTTTTGGGGGAAGTAAGCCTCCTTTTATGGTACAGAATCTCTCCCAGAGAGTCCTAAATTGATCCAACCCTGAGGCCTTCCAGCCTTCCTGAGAAAGAAATCAGTGTCTCCAAAGATATAATGGCAAGGAGCTCCCTGGAGTGGTCATGGTTCTCCAAGCTTTGCTAGCCCTCTTAGCCTTAAAAGAGAATCCATAGAATTATTTCTTGATCACCACACCAGGTTTTTTCACATTTATATTTTTAATAAAATATTACATATTTCTTTTTAATTCTCCAATTGTTTATATATTTTTTTCTCATGATTTTATTTCAAAATAGCATAGATTTAGCCTTGACAATTTGCCTTTAGGGTTTCAGCCTCCCAGAATCTAAAATTTGGCCCTCTCTGGGGCCAAATATCTCTGTAAGTATTGCCCATGCTCTCACCTTTTAATGTATCCTTATAATTGAAATGTTATAATTTATAAGTAGATGTCATATTAGAAAAAATAACCAGATGACCCTGAATAATTTACAGAACTAGGTCTATAATAACTTTAGGGATGTCATTTTGTCTTTAAGTGACCCAGAAAAGGAGAAGCTAGTCTATTTTTGAGAACTTTTAAGGAAGAGAATTTTTGTCTCCACTGGTGCTAGGTTTACAGTAGTTTAAGGACCATCTGACAATGATTCCCAGAGGCATGAGAAAAACGCTGAGAATCCGATACTGGTGTGGTCACAGGTACCTCCAAACCTGACTCCTCAAATACTACAGGAGCCGGGAGGTGGAGGACAGGGTGAGGGGTGGGGAATGCCTAGTCTGAAACCAACCAGATAATTTAAGAGAGTCTCACTACTTTTGGACATGAATAGTTTAGACTTGCTGTCAATACTGATTAGACGTCTAAAACTTCATAATTTCACTTGAACTATTCAAGAACCACCGATGACTATTTTTTCTAGAACTTTAAAAGTAAAGCCACCTGGCTAAGTTGCTCCAAAAGTTCCTGCCAAACGTTTATAGCTAATATTGAGAAATGTGGTAAATCACACTGCCCTAAATAAAACCATAGTTTGGATTGCATGTTGTGGCAAAGATGATTACCCTCCACTGAAATCCATTCTTTCCTCAGGCACAGAGCTAGACGACATTTCCCAAAATCTCATAGTTAGGTGAGCCATGAGATTAGATCTATACTGGAACATGAGCAGAAGTCACGTTTGCCATTACTGGGCTGGGGATTTTAGAAGAGCAGCTGTGCCTGCTCAGTGTTCTCCTTCTCTTTCTGTTGGAGAGAAAGGAGTCCACCAGTGCCAGCGTAACCTTGGAAGCCCCATGTTGAAGAGCTTCTGCCAGTCTGCTTTTCCAAATGACTGCATACAGAAGAGGTTCCCTGCAACATGAATCTTACCCTGGGCTGCTACGTTAGTGATCAATAAGCTTATACTATATTTAAGCCATTCCATGTTTGGGTCTATTTATTACAGCAGGTTAGCATTGAAGGGTGGCAGAATATGCCACCCTAAAACATCCCACTTTGGCATAAGGATTATTTTGAGGTAAAAGCACCTGAAAAAATAGCAGGTGCAAGTAGGGCACTCTGACCTTCCCTTTTCTTCCTGAAAGCTGGAGCTAAAACTCCAGTGTAAAAGATGCCCTCCCTATACTGGGAGGAAAGAAACATTCTTACCACCAGAGACCAGGAGTCCAGGCCAAGAGAAGTCCATACAAGCAGACCTTGTTAAAATCAATTGACTCTTATCTTCTTTTAGTCTCCCCATATATTTTAGTTACTTTTCCACAATTGCCTCTCCTTGTTCAACCTAGTTTATAAACCCTTAGGCCTAGCCACCTCTTGGGGTCTTCACTTTCCTACGGAGGCTCCCAGGTACATGTGAAAATCTGTATGCTCTTCACCTGTCAATCTATCTCATGTCACTTTAATTCTAAGGCCCAGCCAGAGATCCTAAGAGAGTGGAGGTAAAGTCTGGCCTTCCCTATAGCATATCCCAACTACTGTATATGCCATATTTTAAAATTACCTGCTCTTACTAAAATCACATGCAAGTAGTATACCTTAAATTGGTTTTCGTACTTTTTACTTTGTCAAAGGTGCTTTCTTTCACATGCATTAGTGCTTAGGAGTCTCACAACAACCTTTGAAAAACAGTAACTCTGGGAAAATATATATAAACGTTTTTTTAAAATAGTACTGCAGTAAGATAAAAACTATAAACATATAGTTCAAACTTTTGATAATATGCAATAGAAAATTCCATAGAATCATTAAAAAAACAAAAAAAATTAAACAGTTTCAATTTCAAATCCAAGTTGATAATATGTTTTGAAGATTTATTTTTGTGGTCCAAATTACTAATAAGAGATTATTATTAACATAATAACTGTCCTTACCTGCTAAAGATGACATATTGATAATGATGCCGCCTTCACCTCCATTTTGCTTACTCATGTAATCCAAACCAAGATAGGTTCCACTGATAACAGAAACCTAATCCAGAAGCATAAATAGGAGAAGCAACAGAGCCATTATACTTTACCATATAGTCACACACCAAAGTTGTTATTGCTATCCCAGACACCTAGGGAGATTTCTGCAAATATTATCAATGAAAGATTTTGACATGGTTTTCTTTTTTTAAAGTTAGTCATTGACCTGGATTTTCTTTTGTTTGTCTAAAGTTGTCTCTGCAACTTTATCACATCTCTGCAAAACTTCACTTCACTTAGTTGCCCAATCTGAGATTTTATCATAAAGGTTGTATTCCAAATAGTGTTTTGTCGCTTGAACTCAATTCTCAGCATCTTCAAGAATTCTATACATTCTTTTTCTTTTCTAACTATTGAATACAAAGTTTATTTACCCTTCTTAGCATATGGTTCTCATGTCCAGGTATTCCATATTCATCTGGTCTGTTTAATTATCTTGGCTCTTGGAGTATACAATAGTAGATGCTCTGAATTTCCTACACAGTTATCATTTCTTTCTTTTTTTTTTTTCCTAATAAAAACTCTATTTTGCATTTGTATCTACCTCTTTCCTATATAAGACATAGGAAGGTGATCTCCCCAGCTTTAGTACAGACATTAAATTAATCCAATTCAGTCATGGCAATCTCATTCTCCTTGCCAGCGACTGGTTTAGGAGCTAGCATGTGACCCATTTCTGGACAGTGAGACCTTGAGGAGCAGTCAGCTGGTGGGGTCTGGGCTGGCAAAGGGTGGTAGAAGAGGATGTTGCTGAGAAAATTCTCTTTGCTCTTAAGAAAACGAGGAAGAAATGATTACATTACTCCTTTTTCATTGCTTTGTATGGGTGTGATGGCTGGAATGAACAGTTCTATTGCTAGCATCCTAAGATGAAACCACCATGAAGGATGGCAGGTGGAAAGATGAAGAGAGACTGGGTCCTGATGCTATCACTGAACTGCAGTGTCAAGCAGGCCTGAACTCTGTGTTGCGTGAGATCACATAACCATTTTACCCAGCTTGCGTTGGGGATTTCCTGTTACTTGGACACATGGTCTTCAGTAACTTCTATCACTTCAGTTTGTTCACCACTCCTGCAGCTGTTTACTCCTTTTGCTGGTTTACTCTGCTTCACTACTCATCTCCACGTGTAGGCACCTTTTCTGTTTTATTCTAACATTTAAGAATTCATCACTACCAAAACCAACTTGTGATATGAAACTTATATTTGAAAACTTATCTTCCCTTTTAGATTTAAGAACTCCTCTCCCTTCCAACTCAGACTTTTAAAAGCGAAAATTTCCTTTTGACTTTTTATCTTAATTCTTATTTCTTTCATTTACAATACTGCAGAGAAAGTGATACAAGAGATAATGAGTCTGAAACTGAGGGCACATATTGGTTTTACCCTCTTTTTAGTTTAAAAAGTCGTTTAGGAGTTTTCTTGACAAACATTCAGAATTGCCTCTCTACCTTAGTTCTAGAACAAAAAAGTAAATTGAAGATTCTATTCACTTAAGCCATGTGTCAGTTTGATATTAAGTAGGCTTAGGGAGAATAAGTAAAATCTCCACATGAGTCCCTTTAAAAAGGAGAAACAAAACATTAATGGTTTATATAAGAAGAAAAAATGTAGATGGCTGAAATTACTGAAGTCAGTTAGATTCTGCTAGTTTCTGCCCAAGTCTCCAGCAAGTCTGAACAGAATTTCTGTTTACGCATATTGGCGCTATGCTTTTATTCTCAGGTATTTACAGCTTTGCTGACACCCGCTTTTATGTTTTCAACATCTGCAAGATGTAGCCAGATAGGAAATTTGGGACTGTTTATTTGTAACTTTTTTTTTTAAAAGCAAGATTTATTTCCAGGTCTTTGGTGAGGAGGATAAAGGATTATCTTCCTATCCATTATCAGATTAAGAACTGAGTAACTTTTCAAATGAAAACGTTCTTAGGATAAATCTACAAGACAAGGTTTAATGCTTTGGCTGTACATATATGATATTTTCACCTCTTTTCTTTTACTATAACAATCTCTTCTTTATCCCAGATTGTATATTAAAGGAAGTATTAGAAAACCATAGATAGAATAAAATGTTTCTTGTTAATATTCTAAATATATTTCTGTCTTTTGGAAATGTTTATATATTTCATAGATTGGGTCATTATAATATCTAGCATCTAGAAAAAAAAGAAAATGAAAATTATAGACATGTTCTAGCTACAAACACAAAGTAGCTGGAATCTATAGTATTATTTGAGTCTGTTTTGTGAAAGTAGTTAAAATTTTGTACTTGACTCTCAAAGAAAATCCTATGTCTAATTTCATAGAGAATAAATAAAAATTCAATTATTAATAAAATGATCTAATCAACACATGCTTACTCAATATTTTGGTTATTAAGACATAATTCTTATATGTTACACTGAAATTGTAATTATGTTGTATTCTAAATCTTAAATTATGTTTTTCATTAATTAAATTATTCTATAACTTAAAAACCACTCTCTTAAATTCCCTTACACTGGGAAGAATTCTCCAGTAATAAAGATAAATGGACAAATGGTAATAGCTTATTTAATTCTTTTTATCATGTCTTCCTATAACATATATATACATACATATATGTATATATGTTCCTATAACATACATGTATATATACATAAAACGTGTGTGTGTATACATTTGCTCCTGAAATTTCCTAATATGTCATTTCCCTTATCTCCCTCCACTCTGGGATTCCTTTTAGTTTATTATGGTTCTTGTGCTACACTGTAATTTTTTAAATTCTGTCATCTAAATCATGAAACTTTGTTTTTCAGGTTTCTTGTCTTTTCTCCAACCCAATTCTCAAGGAATACTAATTTAGATGACCATTTTTTCTGAAATTTTTTTTATCTTTTATTTTTTCATGTTCAAATTTTTTCCATTTGTGCTTATTTTGGGGGTAAATATTATCGTCTTCCCCCTTGCAGATGCTACATATAATTTAGCAAGCTCTGCCTAACTATAATAGTTCAACTGGATCTTTAGATATCACAGAGTAGCAATAACACAAAGTAGTTACTAATTCACTGTGTAATAAACATCCTTGGGAGCCAAGAAAAAGGAGTACGTTTGACAACAATGTTTTGACAACAATGTTTCTATCAATGTCCTCAATTCTTCAATTAGAAGTAGAGTGGGACAGAGGACCCCAACTCATATAGAAATGAGATAGTGAGAATGAAGAAATGTATAGGTTTTTATACCCTGGAGGGAAAATGCAATTTATTGAGTGAATATTATGTAGTAGTACTGTGCTGGATGCTTCATACAAATTATGGTTTATTTAAGCTTAATCATTCTCAGAGGTATGGAGATTACCTTCCTCCTTTCACAAACTGGGAAATTCATGATTAGAGAAATGAAATAAAAGTTCATGAATTCTAAATTCAGGACTGAAATCTAGTTTTGACTAATTCTAAATGCATACCCAGTTCAGTGCAAATCTTTAGTCAACCCTTGTATTTCTGAAAAAAACAACCACTAACAATAGCCATCTATTTTGTTTAATTTTTATTTGAATATACTAAGAGATTCAATATATGTTAGTTATATGTCCAAATTAGATGATAAATCCCACTTGGCCGGGATGAATTGTTTAGATTTATGAAATCTTCAAAATGTAAAAGAAGTACATTACAGAATGGCCTTATCAATATTCAAAGTTAAGTCTACCTCTGGCCAATTGTCAGAGTAACTTTTGATAGTTATACAAAGACTCATTCTTTGCTGAACATTCTTTGTGAGCTCTGAGCAGCTACAAATAGGCTGCTAGAGTTGGCTTCAGACCAAGGAGGAAGCACAGAATAGCCTAGTAGAAACAAAAGATGGGGAAGAGGTTTAATGTATCTCTTGTGTGGGAAAAGTCGTGAGTTCTGCTGAGTGAAGAATAAGGAAGGAATAAATTTGGTAAGGAGTAAAAGTGAAAGAACAGATGATATTGTTGGTCAACACTGATGTATTAGGAAATCATCCAAATAGTGTATTAAAACACAAAAATGAATATCCATGTATGTAAAATATCATAGTATGGCAGTTTACTTATACAATAAATATTAATTAAACATCTACTCTGTACACAAAACAATTTTCTGCCTTGAAAGAGCTCATAGGATACTAGCATAAATAAAATAATTCTAATAAAATTTAAAATTGGTACGCCCTCTGTGAATGGAATAAATATGTTACATAAGATTTCAGAAGAGAGAGAGATATGTGGTGAGGTTCTTTAACTAAGTGGTTACTTTCTGACATGGACAGGAACATGGAAAAACATGCAAAAGAACACACATGGAGTTGTATAAGGAGGCAAAGTACATCCAGAGCAGAGTCTAAAAAAAATTTTTATATAAACCACACACAAATATTTGCATTATAGTAACAGAGATAATCAAGTTGGAAGGACAATGATTGGTCAGAATCTAATCCATTCTTGCAATAGGTGTCGCAGGTAGAAGAGGAAGTGACATGCTTTTAAGTTATACAGGTTATATCTTATTGTCTCTATGTAAAATTAAATAAACGCCATCAGTCCCTGGAGTTAAGCTAAGGAGTGACCTATGTCAGCAGAGTCCAAAGAAAAATAAAGGCCAGTTGAACTTCAATGAGGAAGGATCCTAGAGAGTGAGTTGTAATCAAAGCAGTCAAATAAAATTCCCCTAGTCTTCCAGAATTTTCTATTTGCAGATAACGCAGGAATTTTCCAACTTGGAGCAGGTGTTTATTCATCCAGGCTATATTAAAGCAAACATGCCCTCTCAGCCGGATGAAGACAGATAATTAAAATCCTATTGCCTTTGTAATAATCTTTTCATTATTTTCAGGTTTCTTTATATTAACTCTAATCATTGCACACTGTCTTCTGACATCTAATTTCTCAGGAAAGACATGTTATGTGTCCATTCTGAATGCATTGAATATAGGAACTCTATACCCTAGTGACCTTTAGCTATAAAATATCTGTAGATATTACTGAAGAAACTATTAAAAATATCAGTAGTGACGCTAAAGGGAGAAGGCTGCTGTGCAATTTGTGCCTTTTCATTAGCATAGCTAAATTAAAAAATTCTTGTCACTTTACGTGGTTTTGGAGAGCGGCATAGTTTATAAAAACATATTCTTAAAAATTCCTGAAGCTCCCAATTGGTTGTATATTCAAATTTTTTTGTTTTATCTGGCAGCCAAAGGATCTAATGAAATATGGTTCAAAATAAGTCAGGGGTAACCACTGAAGATTAAATATAAAATGTACAGTTTTCTTAGCAGCAGAAGAAAATTAAAGCTATCCAGTGGAATTTAAGAAAGGAATGTAAAAAAAAACAAAAACAAAAAGAAAACTTAGTAAACATAACATATGAACTGCAGTGGAAGAAATAAATCCTAAGAGAAGAGTAAAAATAAATCTAAGTGGCTTAAATTCACAAATATAAAAAACAGATGTTCCCAGATGTGATTTAAAAAGATCTCACACTATACTGTCAGCAAGAGACAAATTTAACATAAAAGGTTACTTACATTTTCAAAATAAAGTAACAAAAAAAGATAAGCCTAGGTAAATGTGAACCAAAAGAAAACATGGGTACCAATTTCATATATGGAAATATAGAATGGATCAAAAACATTATAGGTTGCAAATTAGGTACAACTTTAAAAAAATCAAAGGTCAATAAATTATAATCACCAGCAATTTACGCTCTAAATATTATAAGTTTATAATATAGAGTCCAAACTGACAGAATTACTGAAAGAGGCAGGCAAATTAACATTTGTCATTTGAGAGATGATTGCATTCTGTTCAAAAACTGCCAGATCAAGGAGATAAAAGTAAGCAAAGAAGTAATTGACATTCAAACCAAATAGGAATATCATAAGAAAATTATAAGATCCTTTCACTTATAAGCAGACAGAGACAAATATAAAATTAAATTAGGTATTAACTAAGCAAATTCAAAGGTGTATTAAACAATGATATACCATGATAAAGTAAGATTTAGCCAAGAGATGTAAGTATGGTTCACAGTCAAAAAATACTTCATTTCACTACATTACTAGCCTAAAGTAGAAGAAAATCATAGAATCGTCTCAACTTAGGAAAAGCAGTCATCAGGTTTCTCTAACCACACACACACACACGCACATACACACACCCGTGTGTGCTCCCACACTTATCCCAGAGGCTTTTGAGGGAAACTTGACAAATAGCTTTTAAAGTTATTTTGAAATATGATATCTAGGAATACTTGAGACAAATTTTAAAAAGAACTGGAAAGAGGGTGTGTATTTTAAAATAGTACCTTTTGTTCTCGGTTAAAGAATTTTAGGCACCTGTCAAGTTTGGGGAGCAACTTTGTACCCTTATCAAAGCGGTGCTTACAGATTTAGCTCTTTTGTGAGGTAATGTAATTCTCATTACTTCCATCAAGTTATTACAGTTAAGTAATTACTCATGGGAATGTCAATTCAAGTCAAACATTTATTGACTAAGCACTATCTTCAAGATACCATGTTGATTACTGAGAAAGGAACCAAGGAAAACATAACACAGTTCCTGTTTTTAAGGAGTTTATAATAACCTAGGAGAATATCATGAAGTCGGGGGCCATTCCCCGTATGTTTATACACACACAGAGGTCCCTCTATACTTTATACATGCCTGCTCAGTGAGACTAGTAAGAATGACCTTAACAAAGGCAGGGTAACTCCATTCACAGCCCAGCTCTGACATTTTGCTTTAGCAAAATGCTTTTAGGTTTGAGTTTTACTAAGCCCCAATACCTTACGTCAAGTGTGTTTATAAAATGAGGTAACCAACAAACTTGTGATACAATGGATAAAACAGAAATTTTATTTCCTAATTGTACATTTTTATAATTTAAGAGCTAAATAATCATCAAACATTATGGAAATTACACAAACACACTGATTTTCAGGATAAAAGTCTTAACAAAGTCCAATAGTCACTTTAGCCTTGTTTTCTGTTACAGTTCTGGAATTAAAGATTTATTTTTTAAATAAATAAGCCAGGGGTTGGCAAACTTTTTATGTAAAGGGCCAGATGCCTAAATATTTTAGGCATTGCACATCATAGGGTTTCTGTCACAATTATTCAACTCTGCTGTTGCAGCATGAATGTAGCCAGAGACAATATGTAAACGAATGACTGTAGCTGTGTTCCAATAAAACTTTATTGACATTGAAATTTAACTTTTGTATAGTCATGCGCCACATAATGTTTCACTTGATGATGGACCATGTATATGACAGTCGTCCTGTAAGATTAGTCCCATATAGCCTAGGTGTGTAGTAGGCTATACCATCTAGGTTTGTGTAAGTACACTCTGTGATGTTTGCATAACAATGAAATCGCCTAACGACGCATTTCTAAGAGTGTATCCCCGTCGTTAAGCAATATATGATTGTATTCATATATCTCATATTATTCTTCCTTTAACTTTTTTTCAACCATCTAAAAATGTAAAACCCATTTTTAGCTTGCAGGTTATAGAAAAACAGGTGGTAGGCTAGTTTGACCTGTGGACCGACTCTTAAATTATGCAATAAACCATTTTTTTCATATTTCCTTTTACTATTTTAAGATAGATTTATTTTCATAATTAAAAGTCTTGAATGTCTTCCAATTTATAAAAGGAAATGCTTTTTTCCTAGCTTTCTGTAACTTCCCTTTTTCTATATTATAGGTCATTGTAATGTTTTCATGAATATAAGAACCTTTTTCCTTTAAAAAGAACATATCGTTAAATAATTTTAGGCAATAAACATAGCTAAGATAGCTTACCAAATTAATTTGCAGCGTTTTTTCCCAGTTTTTCTCATTATTCACTCCAGCATTATTGACCAAGATGTCCAATCTTCCAAAGTGGTCTACAACTTTTCTAAAAGTATCTAATTAAAAAAAAGGGCATTATAGATACATTCATACTTTCCACATGTACATTTAAATCATATCCTATGCCCTGAAATGAATTTTTCTTTATCCGCCCTCATAGTGAAAATTACGCTCTTAGACTGTAACTTAATGCCTCGCTTCTCCAAGTGTGGTTTGTGAGGCAGCAGCATCATTCAGCATTACCTGGGAGCTTGTTAGAAATGCAGACTCTCTGGCCACCACAGACCTACTGAATCAGAATCTTAACTTTAGTAAGATTCATAGATGATTTGTATGCACATTAAAGTTCTATAAGCAGTAACATAATGGAGTAAATTTTATCAGAGAACTGAGCATCCTAAGCTAAGAGCTCTTGGAAGTCAGTGTGGGCAGCCAGTATCTGTCTTGAAGAAGTTACTGAAATTCTGTGGCTTAGACTATGACAAACATGCTTTTCATTTAATAAGCCATATTATCTTCATAAAGCGTTATATTAAACACAAGTCTTCTCGCGTATTCAGATCCATTACGATCACTTCAGGGAGTTTTTGATATCCTAGTGAGTAAAAGTCTACTTTTCATTCAGTTGATTTTATTTGATTACTGTAATTTTATGTTTACCATTTCAGTCTTTTACTTTTCTATTATTACTGCTCTGTATTACTAGTTTGTATAAAAACTATGTTCAACCAGGGTAAAGTTTGCATAGATTCTGAGGCCTGAAGGTCACCCATTACATTAGTCCAACCACATATCCAGTCCTTGACAATCCTTCTTAGCCAGTTCATAGTAGGCGTTACCATTTTTGCACTGAGAAACACATTATTTCTCAGAGCAGACTTTTACATAGTTCTATTGATTTAAACTTGCTTCCCTGGGCCTTTGAACTATTGGTTCTAGTTCTATTACTTGAGACTATAGTTAACAATCGTGATTGTTCTTCCAAATGAGAGAAATGTGTTCTCAGGTCTTGAGGCCAACATAGGAGTTCCTTGAAAAAAGCAGATCCACACAAACTTTATTTTGATTGAAACAAAATCATAGAATTATTAACAACCATCAGATATACTGAGGAGGGCATGAATTAATCAGTTCCTGAATGGATAAATTATTGTGCAAGTTAATTGCCAAAAACAGTGCCAAGACTTTCTAATACACACCCTTTACAGCACCCTTTACTATACTGGAATGGGAGACAACAACAAAATAAAAACTGTTTACTTTTTCATGGAATTTTTAAACTGCTTTTTACGATTTCAAATTGATTCCAGAAAAGGTCCTCCAGTAGAAAACATCTAAGGAATCCTATTTGTTTTTTTGGCATTCCATCCTAAATATGTTCTACTCTTCAGAACTCACACCTTATGGGAAATTAGGTTGTTAAATCTGTATGTCTAATTGCTTCTTCAATTTTCTCTCCTCATTCTGGTCTCCACTGCATTCTTTATACTCTGCTCTTACCAATGTATAATACACCATCTTCTTTCTGACATACCACTGAATTCTGGGCTCAAGCGACTGACAATCTAGCTCTTGCTGATATTTACATGCTGTGGTACTCTTTAAAATTCACGTAAATTCTCTGTGTTGCATTTTTTTCATTTGTAAAATGAGTTATGTCTAGATCATTTCCAAGAACGTTTTCACCTCTGTATTTCTATGATTTCAATGAAGTCTCCCTTGGCCCATGTCTAAATAGCTTCAAAAGCTGTAGGCAGCATTAAATCCTGAAATCGAAAGAGTCAATGTCATAATTTTCTTAAATGCAAATAAATGCTGATGTCCAGACAACACGTGGGTTTCTCATGACCAACATGAGAAATGAGTGACCTTCTCCTGGTCACTCAGTATGTGTCTGAGTTTCTTCCTCTATAATCATTTATCCTTAAGGAATGTGTTTACAGCCAAGGTACTAGTTTTAAACACTGGAAAGCAAAACAATTGAAGCTAAATGTCACATGTGAAACTACACAAACTCAGAAATAGCTTTCAGATGATCTATACTGTTCCCTATTCCATCAGCATGGATGTTGAGATTTGATATGAGTCTATCCTTGCTCCAAAATATCATGTGCAATTAATAAAACTTTATCCTCTGGCAAAAATCTGTGTTTACGGATCTCTTCTACTCATGCTTGCAATCCATGTTATAGATCTTTATTAGCATTTTCAGATTTTAATTACATAACCTCCTTTAAAACAATTTCCCTTAACTGTAGGGGAACACTGCCTTGTAACATAGAACTCCATTTTCACTCTCTTACAGAACATCCCAACATTTTCAAAGAAATTCACACTTCAGTGATGCTTTAAGAACGGGAGTACTAGAGTGACTTTTATGGAAGTTTTTTGCTCCCTTGATTAAACATGCACCTAACAATTGATTCAGTCTTTCAATAAAATTTTGTGAAATACAATTATTTTATTTTTCTATTTTTTGGGCCCAATCTATTTGGGCCTCAGACCAAATCTGTTTATTGTCTACGCTAATATTGCCCCTGATATTTAGAAGTAGATTGGTCTATTTTAACGGAGTAGACAGAAACAGGAAAGCACTGAGGAAAGTCTGATAGAAACTTTTCTTCTGCAGTTCTAACACCCCAGTACAGCTATTATTTTTAAAGTACTATCCCACAGGGGAAAAACCAGAGAGAACATCTGGTTAAAAGCATCTAGCACATCTGTGATGATGATCCTTGATCTTGCATTCTAGTATGTTTAAAAGAGAAACACAGCCACATTTGATTGTCATTGGACTCTGTGTCTTCCAGCTTTCTGGGAGAAGTTGTTTGTCACAGTCCCTTAGCCCACTTTAACTTTCCAAGTTCCATCTGCCATTTCAATCATTTAATAATTACTGTAGCAGCACTGTCTTGGAATACACGAAGTTATTTTGATTACATTAAGTGCTGCCAAATGACTAAAATAAAAGAATTTCTCAAGCAGTTTTGGCTGTTTTCCCCCCTTAGTTTTTATGGCTATTGGGATGTCAGCAGGAAACACAACAGTCCCAGCTATCTTCGAGGTAGCTGATCCCCAGGAGGTAGTCGAGCTGCCTGCACCGAGGCTGGCTCTGGCCCGGGCTGCCTGCAGGTTATTGCTTGCTCGGGGCGTGTTCCCCGTTGATGGATTGATTCCCCTCTCTTACCTCTCAGTTGTTCCTGGTTAGCCACATCGCACTGGATGAAGAAAGTCTTCTGAGGTTCAAACTGCTCATCCAGGGCAGCTTTACACTTTACACCTGCTTCAAGATTCCAATCGACCAGCGCTACCTACAGACAAGAGGAGAGGAATCGAGGTGCTGCGCGGCTCTGGAAACAGTCAGACGAAGAGTAAATAAACAACAGGACGCTGCTCTCTTGAACCTGAAATTCAGCAAAGTTCAGGTTCTCTCCCAGGCGCTTTCGAGGTCTGCTCGAAAGCCTAAGCCTTAAAGTAGCTTTTGGAAGTAGCAAACTGGGCACTTCGGGGACTGCCTCCTCTTCTCCCCGGGAGCCCCTCGGCTGGGGGGGCGAGTCTCAGGGTGGGCAGACAGGTTTCTGCGGTCGGGTGCCGCACTTACCTTGGCGCCCTTGTGCAGCAGCGCCTCTGCAAAGGCTCTGCCGATGCCCTGCGCCGCGCCGGTCACCAGCGCCACTTTGCCGTTCACGTGCATGGTGCGGCGGCTGCTCGGGCGGTGGGCGAGCTCGGCGTCGCGGCGCGGCCGCAGCTTTTATGGCCCCCTGCGCGCGCGTGCAGCCCAGCTGGGCGCTCTCCTGCGAGTGGGCGGGGAGGAAACTGTCAAGCCAGCGCCGGGGAACCCACGACTGTGTCACCTGGCTCTGAGCGCTCCCAGGCGCCAAGCTTCGCGATCTTTGCCTTCCTGACTCGCAGCCAAGGCCAGGTCAGAGCCGCCCCTCAGCCTCTGGCTGCGTGACTGGTGGGGAGCTGACACGAAAAGCAGAAAGGTTATTTCTAGAAAAGATTTCCCTTCAGTGCGCTCAAGACCACCCTGATAAAAGGAGGGCAGAGGAGAGACTTGAGAGCCTGAATTCCTCCTCCCGCCCCCAAGTCCTCCCCTCCCATCCCCCCACCCATCAAAAAAACAGAAACAAACAAAAAAGCAAAATTTTAGGGATGTTGCTCTTTTGTCTTACTCTAAGTGTCTGAATTCCCATCTCATGGCCATTGGGGTGGGGATGAAGGGAGCGGAGGTAACTAACACCATTGTTTTTTACTTAGTTGTGTTTTTGACAAACTTGTACAGATATTAGAGATGAAAAGTCAACTGAGCTCTGGCCGGAAACCCCTGAATCATATCATTTCGAGGCTGGGACTTTAGGAATCTTGTTGGCACTTATGTTTCAGATCAGTGTCCATTGTGTGTCATCTTGAGAGCGCCCTGTAGGAACTGTCATCACTGACTTGCGCAGGACTTCCAGAGTCGCTGTTACCCTGGTGAATTGTTGGTTCAAGGAATGCTTACTCGTTGAATCATAGCAGCTTTGGAGGCTCCTAGTTAAGTGTGGGACAGAGGTTCCCCGTCTTTCAGGAACTGAGTACAAGCTGTGTGCTCAGATGCGTTCAGCCAGGGCTATTCCGCTGACCTAGTCACTTTTTTTTCATGTTATCACCCGCAGGCTTCAATTTTAATGCTGTAAGCGTAATACCTGGTTGGCATTTATTTTCACGAACAAAGAAATCTAAGCACTTGGGGAGATGGAAGTCAGGCAAAAGGCTTAAACTAACAGCAGAATGAATCCTTTGTGTACTTATTTGCTGTTTACAGAAGGAAAAGGGGGAAGGTGACTTGGTTGGCAGTGCAAGCCTGTTTGGGGAGGCCGTGTAAAATATATGTTGTCAGTAAACTACTGATGCAGAAGTCTTCAAAGTTGATTTGAAATTATGTCTTGAAAAAATGTTGAGAAATTAAGATAGGGAGAGGGATGTTTATATTCTATCACGATAATAAAAATTGTAATGTGAAGAGTAAGTTGAGGGATCATATTGAAAGAGAACAGCAGAGGACAAAAAAAAAAAAAAAAGGAAATAAGCCAAAACCCAGCACCTCTAGTGGCAGGAACAGAACACAGAAGAAAAAAAGGAACATTTTTTTTCTCCTTTTTTTTTTTTAATCAGGAAAGAACTAAGAAAAGAAGCCAAGACGGAACCACTAGGGTGACAGGGGAATATGTTGGGAGAGCAAAGTATTGCAGTGCATATGGGGAAAAATAGTTTCAAGAACAAAGGAGTGGTTAATAATGGAAAGTACTTTGCTGAGCACAAGGATATGCAGGATTTCTTGTTATTTTGAATTTTTCAGGGCAATAATTAGTGTAAGTAAATTTAGAAGGCACAGAAACCAAATGGTTGAAATTTAAGGAGAAAATGGCTAGTGAGAAGATAGATATTGCAGGGGTTCGAGACCAATATTACATGAAAAGAAATAGATTGGACAGTAGTTGGAAAGATTAGAGGGAAAATAAGTTTTTCTTTGAAGGAAGAACAGAACCAGCCCTGATGGCCTAGTGGTTCAAGTCCGGTGTTCTCTGCTTCGTCAGCCTGGTTCAGTTCCCAGGCATGGACCTACACCACTCGTCTGTCAGTAACCTTGCTGTGGCGGCAGCGCACACAGCAGAACTAGAAGGACTTACAACTAGAATATACAACTATGTACTGGGGCTTTGGGAGGACAAGAAAAAAAAAGAAGAAAGAAGGAACAGGAGGACTGATTCAGCTTAAAAGGCCGGGAGTGGATGAGGGTGAGAATAGGGGAACAGAAAGCAGTGTGGGGTGGGGGTGAGAGGTAAGGGCATCAGATTTGGATTCAGACAAAACGGGTTTGGATTTTGTCTCTGCTTCTGACCAGAGGTGTGATCTCGCACAAATTGCTTCAGTGCCTCAGATTCCTTATTAGTAAAGTTCCTGTAAGAATTTGGTGAAAATTATTGGGTGGTGAACATGATGTAATCTATGCAGAAATAGAAGTATAATGATGTACACCTGAAATTTATACAATGTTATAAACCAATGTTACTGCAATAAACAAAAAATTAAAAAAAAAAGAATTTGGTGAAAATTAAATTAAATAATGCATATGAAGCACTGTTATAGAGCCTGGTGCAAAGTGATAATACATATTAGTTCTAACTCATTACTTCTGGATTATTAATAAATAATATATGAGAGGTAGAGAAAAATGTAAAAAGCAGTTTTTCTTAGTACATAGGAAGGCCTGGGATCTAGGGCACAGTTAGTACCTCTTCACCCCTTTCTTTCTTCTCAGTTTCCACTGTCCCTGCCTTGTTCACCCCTTATATTTTCTCCTGTGAAAGCAACAGCAGTTAGCCTTCTGAATTATTTCTTTGCCCTTAAATTTCTTATATCCAATTCAGTTTTCACAGTTCTCCCAGTATAAGTTGTAAAACATAGATCTGATCATGTTTAGAATTTCTTGTTTTTAAAATCCTTAAAATATGGGCCAGCCCCAGTGGCCTAGTGATTAAGTTCCATGCTCCACTTCCACGGCTCAGGTTGGGTTCCCGGGCTCAGACCTACACCACTCATCTGTCAGTGGCCATGCTGTGGCAGTAGCTCACATATGAAAAAAAAAAGAGGAAGATTGGCAGCGGATGTTAGCTTAAGGTGAATCTTCTTCAGCAAAAAAAAAACAAAAACAAAAACAAGAAACAAACAAACCCTTAAAATAGCTAGGCTGCAGGGCATTGCATAGGAGGTGGTCCCTGCTCCGTATCTTTCTGTGGCCCCTTTTTACCCTCTAGGAAGCCATGTCAGTTAAAACCTACCGCACTCTCCAAGTCTCAGGCCCTTGCCATACAATATCTGCTCACCTGCTATACTTCCCCTCCCACTTTCTTTACTTGTCTTCCAACTCAGCTATGAAGACTCTACCATGGAGACACAGATCACATTATTCTAATTACTTTGCAATCTCTGAGTGTCTTCAAGGAGAGCTGTGTCTTTTTCTCTGAATATCTCCAGCATCCAGCCCAGGGCTACTCAAAGTGTGTGCTCGAACATGTTGCATGAAGAAGAGTACAGATAAACAGGAGATACGTGCTCGAGAGAAGATGGAAAATTTGAACTGGATGGTGAGATTTCCCGTAGACTGTGGTTACGTTTTAATGCAACTTGAAAGTAAGACTGGAAAAATACATTGGTATGGTATTTTTGAAGAAGCATGTTTTGATATTTTAGCATATTTAATATTAAATGTACATTTCAACTTAAAAATATCTACAGGACATTACATATAGTGTATTCTAAAACAAAAAAAGTACTCTTTACCCAGTAAACACATCCCCCACTCCCCTGTGGTTTCTGATATACGTTCCTCAGCTTCTGTGTTCATAGCATTATTTAGCTTCATTTATATTAGCTATATAATTCTATCGTCAATGTAAATTGTGTAATTAAAAACATAATTCTTAGCTAAAACTAAGTTAAATCTGAAATAAACCATCGTTCACATAATTTTGTGAAAGCATTCCTATTTATAGGTTATATTTTATTTAGTTTTTCGAAGGAAGTTCTCTTAAAATGAAAACAAAGTGATGCAACATTAAATAACAGTCAAATTAAAAAGGATGATTTTTCCTTTAAGGCAATTGCAGGTATTGGGTATTGAACATTTACTTAGGGGCAGGCATCCCATAAAGTCTAAATGCACAGCCTCTGGAATCAGACTGCCTGGGTCTGCATTCAGCTCCCCCACCTACTAGCTGTGTGACCTTGAGCAAGTGACTTAACTTCTCTGAATCTCAGCTTCCTCATCAGTTAAATGAGGATGATAATAGTACCTATTTCATAAAGTTGTTGTGAAGACTCTACTGAGTTAAATAAATTCAAGTCAAACGCTTAGACCTGTGACTGGCACGCAGCAAATGTTATATAAATGCTATTATCACTAAGCACTCTACATGTATAATTGCATTTATTATTTACAACCAAACTGTGAGGTAGTTATTACTGTGGTCATTTTACAGATGAGGAAAACAGGTTTGGGGAGGTTAGGGAATTCGACCAAGGTCACTTATCTAGAAAATTGAAGGAGGTGGCTTTGACTCAAGGTGTGGCGACTCCTGAGTGGTACTTGTTTTTCTCATCAAACTTTTTATTTTGAGATAATTATAACTGAGCAGTACTTTTAGCCATGATTGAACAGTGATTTCTATAAGAAATATGTGAAAAATAGAGAAATTCAAATCAGATTCCCTTGATCAAATATATATTTTCATACATGCACTAGTTTTTGTTGGCTCAGTTCTGACCTGTTGAGACAGGCCAGTCTTAACTTGATTTTCCTCCATCCCATGCCCAGGGGTGAGCACAGACATCCCAAGATGCACCTCGTCACAGGCTCCAGCTTAGACAGAGGCAGATCAGTCACCTGACAGACGTAAGCGTGTTTAATTTTTAAATGATCACATAAATCAATACAGAGATAGACTTTTTCTTTATTGAAACCAAAAAGCCCTGCTGAAATAAAGCAGTTTCTGCTAACATTGGGGTCAACGATTCCTGTCTTGGCTTTGCCTCTACAAGCTACAATAGAGGAGCTGACTAATTTTGAATATCTGCTATGTTCTTGTTCTTTTGTATGTTGTCTCATGTAATCCTTTTACCAATCCTGCAATGTAAATATTATTTTTGTTTTATAGATGAAGGAACTGAGCCTCATGGAAGAGAAGTGACATGTCCCAAGATCACACTCTGAAATTTAGCAACAAACCTGTGTTCAAACTCAAGTCACAGAGCTCCAAAGCCTTTGCTCTTTCCACCACATTTGGCTGTCTTCGACAAATTCATGTTCAAATGCAGTCTTCTCCGCTTTGCTAATTGTGTGATCTCGGGCTGGCTTTGATTAGCCAGCCCAAGATAGCCCAAACTCGGTGGTCCTAAGTTTCCTGAACAGTTAAGTGGAGACTAAGTTGACATTCCGTGAAGCACTTAATACAATGCCTCGCACATATTTGGTGATCAGTGAATTATTATCATTAGGTT